TCTCTATCAAATTCGTCATTTAATAATCGTAATAATCGAAATGGAGTTATGAGAAGTTATACATTTACAACACCATCTTATATTGATTCCGATTCTAATCAAATATCTTCAGTTGGTACAACAACATGCCAATCAACACCTGAATTAGTTTCTTCAAATCAATCAATCGTTTCAACTCTTGTTAATACAAAACATAATTCATCATTATCAACAAGTTCAAGTAGTTTAACTGGCACATCAAATCCTAATGCAACAAGCACATCTAGTAGAACTATTGATGACAAAAATGAGGTATGGATTTCTTTCTTTTTTTATTCTCATTGCTTCATTATGACATATGACCATTACAACAAATTCTATGATTAGATGAGAAAAAAAAAACGACGACGTCTCATCGCCTCCACATCTCTCTCTTTCTTTTATCTGTTCTTTCTCTAATAGAATAAATCCATTAGATATATCTATACCTTATGTCGGATAAAAAAATATCGAAACCATCAAGTTTAATTCGTGCATTTACTTTTATACAAAATAATGAAAAATTAAATTCAACTTGCAATTTTTATGCGATGAGACGTTATCAGACTGAACCACCACATCAATCTCATTCTCGTCAAGTTGTCTTACTGGTTTTTTTTCTCTTCTCAAATTAAATTAATTCTATTTATTTGATTTGATTTATTTTAGGCCCAACGTAAAGCAATTGCTTTACAAATGTATGATACTGAAAAGTCTTATGTTGAAGCACTTAAAAGTCTTGTTACGGTAAATTATTTTCATATCATTTTTATTTATTAAAATTAATTTGTTTTATAAAGAGAAATTCTTTTTTTGTTTTTAGAAATATTATTTACCAATGAAAGATAAAACTGTAGTTTCAAATGAATTAATTAATGATATTTTTTATAAAATACCAGAAATTCATATTCATCATACGGTATTTATAGATAATATTTTTTTTTTTATAGATATACATTTATTAGAATATTTATTCAGACATATTTTATCAATTTTAACAATTTTTACTTATTTTCATCTAACTATTTTATATATATTAGACAAATAACAGATATTCAGAATTAAGATTGTTATCTTCTGTTCTTTTGATCTTAGTTTTGACCTGAAGTTATGAAAAATCTGACGTTGTTAATTTCTGTTTTTTAACAAAACTAACCTCTGACATATAAGAGAAAATGATAAATGATTGATTTTCTGGTATGATTATTGAAAATGGTGATGATAAAAGGATATGTCAGAGATAAAAAAAACTGCTATATGTTATTTCGATGATAGAACTATTTACCCGGTTCGAGTGACACCAACTACTCCTTCTACGATAATAACATACTCTAAACAAACAATCTCATCTTCAGTCTAATCCTGAACGAGAGTCAATGTATGATTATTTATTTATATTTCAAATGATAAAACCTTATATAAGAGATAATTAGATTTATTTATATTGAAATTTATAGAAATTGTTAATAAATTATATTGAGAGATAGATTTTAAAATAAATATTAATTTAATATATTTCAATTATTAATTGACTTTGAAAATATATCTCGATGAAAAATAATAACTCGATTTAATAAATAGAGAAGATTTTTGTGTTGTTTATTTCTATTAATTATATTAGAATTTAATTTTAATTAATTCAATATCAATAGGCTTTTTTATTATCTCTATCTCAAAAATTAAATCAATGGGATAATAAACAAACAGTTGGAGATATTTTATTACAAATGGTAAATATAATTTGTTTTTGAAAAAAAAAAATTCTTATTTAATTTTAAAAAATAGTTTACTCGAACATCAGTTATTGAAACTTATACAAGTTTTGTTAATAATTATAAAACAGCTCAAATAGCAATTGGTTTATGTCGAGATATATCATCATTTAATAAATTTCTTGAACAACAAGCTCGTGATCATCATGGTAAATTAACATTAAGAGATTTAATAATTCAACCGGTGCAACGTATTCCAAGATATGAATTATATATAAAAGATTTTCTTAAATGTACAAAT